ATATTTTTTTCGCACCAATTCTGGGACAGCCAGGTCCTGTATTCTGTACACACCTGCCGACAGTTGTTGGTGTCGTTATATGTCGTTGCGAAAATATTTTACATGATGAAAAAAACGACACATGACGACACTAGCAATTGTCGGTTGGCGTGTACGGAATACAGGCCTAGGATATTCGACTAGTCCAAAATTATTACAAAATCAATGTTTTAATTAGAGATGCACCGGATATCTGATAATCTTTCCCGGTGCATCCCTAATTTTAATACAATATATGTCCTCGAAAATGAAAAAATATTTAATTTGTCCTGCATAATCTGATATAATTCGTAGCAAAGCTCTCGAGATTTGCGTGTATAAAGTTTCTAATTCTTTTACGACTTTGTTCACTTTATCGACTTCGTTAAGGAGCAGGTCGCGCGTTTACTTAAAAGCGACGTATTTAGGGCGATACATTTATAATTGTAAAACTGTAAAATGCGAGTGGAAGGGTTTGAAAGGTAACATGACAGAGCCGCCGGTAGCCGGCCTTCCGGCGATGGCTGAATGAAGACGATGACTGAAGGTAAACGTAAGACTACGGAAACGTCCGCTGATCCTCGAAACAGGTGATTACGATCTGACATTATTTCTCTTTCATGATGCCTCACCATCATCAGCGATCAAATAGAATAATCATCTTCATCAACACTTTGGCTTTCTGCAATTTTCGAAGAATTAATTTTCGTCTACCGGTTTTTTTTTTATATTTTTTTCTAACTCATCATCATCTGCGCGTTTGCCATATTCGCAATATTTTCTTCCTAAAACAGGAAAGAGATCCCGCTAGTTGCATACATCTTTTGGAACTTGGCCCTTCTTTCGAATGCTTCGCGTGTTCTCTTGTGTAAGAATTTTTATTGAGATGGGATTTCTTGTTAAAAAAGAAGAAAAATAATGTGGTAAATACCAATTGACTGATATTTATCAAATTATTTTCCTTGTGAAAGACGCGGTATTTGTTTCTGAAATATTCATTTGCTAATAAATAAATTTCAAAGAACGTCAGACGCCGATTTTTCTCAATTTTTGTACAGTTTCTTCAAGATATGAAGAAATCTGTTATCAATTTTAGCTTAAATTGAATCTTTCAATTAAGAAAAAATGTTTATTTTATATACAAATACCCGATTTTACACATATTTAAAGCATGTTTAAAATTTTTTTTGCAAATGGAATTGTTTTCTTAACTATTGTTAACTATTATTTTAGTGTTTGTGTCAAGCTTCAAAAAATCGGATGTAGATTTATTCTTAAAAAATACTGCTTTAACATGTATAAAATCGGGTATTTGTATAAAATAAAAAGTTTTTTTTAATGAAAGACTCAATTTAAGCTAAAATTAATAACAAATTTCTTCATACTCAAACATAAACAACTGTAAAAAATTTTATCTTTGAGAAGAATTAGCGTTTGACGTTCCCTGAGGTTTACTTGTAAGCTTTCTTGAGAATCTCTACGATATGACAAGTTTTTTGTATAATTTAGCTCGATGGTTTTGAAATTCATGATCTTTTTCGTTCTCTAGAAGAATGAAAAACCTATGAGGAATTCCCCGCGTTTGTTAATTTGGTGCTGTTGCTTCGCTAAACAAGTTCTGTCTCACGTGCAAAGTTACACGTAATTCATTGCTTCTTTTAACGTTTTGAAAACACATTTTGCCATGACACGCGTATACAATCCGCGGCCAGTTAACAATCCTCACAGATATCACCAACAAGACGGATGAGATTGCAGGCACACTTTTCGCGCGTTCGCTATCTTAGAGTGCGTTCTGTTTCACATATTATGTTTATGATGTACCTATCGTTTTATCATTTATATTCTTTAATATTCGGTGAACAACAAAGATAAAATGATGCATCATACACATCATGCGTGAAACAGAACACACCCTTAGTCGCGAGCCACGTGCGAGAGCCATGGAGCTGAGGTACCAACGAGATTTCGGGAAATGTGAGTCTCTGTTCTCTCTATTTGAAAAAAAAAAAAGAAAAAACCAATCACACACATACACTATGGCAGTGTTTATCCCATTTTCTCGCCCATCCTGGAGTAGGACCAGCCGTCGAGAGGCACCAGAGAGTTGGAATGTTAGTACTCTTAGTAGTTAGTTTGGTCCCTTCCCTCGAGTACCCGGTGAACACCGGACACTAATCCTGTACGATTCTGTTCAACAGCCTGGGTGAATATGTGGATGGTTGATGTCCGTGAACGTACCTCTTGGATGGAACAAAAAAAAACGAACGAGCAAGTGTTGGCAAGTTTTTGAGATGCAAGTGGTGGAAAGACGCGAAAGAGCGAGCGAGCGAGAGAGAAAGAAAGAGAGGTGAAAGGATCTGGAGAGTAAAAGGGGAGAGAGAGAGAGAGAAAGGAGTATATATTTTTGCAGGCTAATAGAATTTGGTGGGATGATGATGATGATGGTGATGATGATGATGATGATGATGATGATGATGATGATGATACACTGCGCCGAGAGAAGTTGCTAGACAAGTGTGGAGCGAGTGCTTTTTTGAAAGCGTGGGGAAATTTTTTTCGTAAGCGTGACTGCGAAGCACAACATAAGTGAAAGTCGGGTACCCCCGCTGGACGATTTAATGTCTTAACGCGGTTTTGCTTTCAGATTGCGAGAGCGTACGTCGCGATCTGCGGCGGTGGTTGATCGCGATTTAATCCGTGCTTGCTCTCGCGAAAGAAGAGACAGATAGAACACCTGAGGCAGACGCGGACGTAAACTTACGTTTGGAAAAGTCTACTTAATTTTGGAGAGGTCTACTGGCCTGGAGATGTACATAACTGATGACAAGCTGCGACAGGACAATGCGTGCATGATTAAAGTAATTATTACTACATTACCGTACAACTTGATTTTGTTCTGAATTAAGTTTTAACTGATTTGAAATTTTTGACTCGGCTTATATGGGCAGCAAACTTGATTGAAACTGAATACTATTATTCGTTAAAAATATATAAAAATATTGTATTATTTAATTTTTATGTAAATTATAGATATTTACATAATCTATGTAATTTTTCAGTATACGCCTATTATTAAATAGAAATTGTAATAACTCGTAAAAGTTGATTTTTTTTTAATTAACGCAAATACATATAAAAAACGTTCACATGTAAAAATAAATTTTGTTTATTTTCTTGTTTCAGATTCAATTGTCTATTGAACATCGCATGTGAGGAGTTTCAGTATAATTCAGAGTATATGACGAACATATTAAAGCGAGAAAGTCTATCTACAAATAAAATTACATATACATATATATATATATATATATTGTATTAGAAATTCAGTTTTGTGTATGTGTGCATGTGTATACATTTTTTTAAATAATTAGTTAAATTTTAATACATGCTATTTTTTACTTAATCACATTTCCCTCATACTTCAACGATTCTTGCGAATTTAAATTGTCTTGATTTGAAATTCCACATTTAGACTGTGATTGATTTGGACGTTCTCAGCGCTTTTCAGTATTTCTATTCTTATTTTATATCTAATGAACGATAAAGACAGTATAATGATTACAAGCGCTTAAAGCGCGTGAGTGTCCAAATCGACCGCAGCCTTAGACTTATAAAAATCAAAGAATTGGAAAGAGTAAGGGCACTAGGAGTCGGGCGCAGAAGACGTCGCGCAAATAATACACTTATATTTGACATTTTTAATATTTCCCTTCTTTTTCATTCTTTTCTTTCTTTTTATTTAATTCTTGATGTAGGGGAGCTCATCATGACAGGATAACTTACTTTATATATGTTAGTGTGTGTTTGCTCTGAGGAAGGCTAAAAAATAAGTCGAAACATGTAAGCGCGTTTAGTGAATAAAGTAGTTTCACTCTTTATAAGTGTATTATTTGCGCGACGTCTTCTGCGCCCGACTCCTAGTGCCCTTACTCTTTCCAATTCTTTGATTTGTAAAGAGTCTTGATTAGTTTGATTTATTAACGGACTTATAAAAATCGTTACAGGTTTTATTGTAAATTTAGAATTTTAAATATCTTATTCGGATTTATATACTTTTCGGGTTATATTCTTATTATATGCTTTTAATATTTTGTTTATTTCTTTCAGAATTTAGATTTTCTCACAATTTAAGTTTAAAAAAAAATGTTAAATATTCTTAAATCTTTAATAAGTGAAATTACTTTGATATCGATATCCGATTACATTCTGATATTTTATTAAATTTTTGAAGATTAAATTTTTCTCGATGATTAATGTCGATAATTATAAATCATACAATTTGTTCAATTCCGTATGCTGATAAACTTGTTTGTA